CACCCGCCTCGGCCTCCCAGAGAGCTAGGATTACAGGCGTGAGCCACCGCGCCCGGCCCATAAAAATGTTTTAAATGTGTACATTGTATTTCACAATTGCTCTGAATTACAGCTTCATGCAAAGATGTGCTTAACTACTCCTATCTAGCTTATCCTTTTGAACCTTTAAAAATTGTTTCAGTTGAATACATTGCTAATGCTCTTACAATTTTAAGTAGAAGGCTTCCAATTTTAATATGGCAACCGATCAGCTATATAGAAAACAATTTAAAAAGCCATCTTGAGTCCAAGCTCAGAATTATGACTCCTGTCTTCCATCCAACCCAGCATGAATTCTGGATCCAACTTATTTGCTTTCTGGCAAAAATTTACACATTAGTGAGAAATGAAACTATACTTCAGTTCCCAGGAAAATAAGATTTACATGAAAGTGGCTAAGTTGAAGCAAATATTGCTTGTTAAAGTTGTTAATGTTAGTTTTTTAAAAATGGGAGTAGAGGATAAAAGGAAAAAAAGAAAGAAGGAAACCAAAAAAAATCTATTGAAGATTGAAGAAAATATTATTGCTATCTTTGTTTGCTTTGTGATTTCTGTCTCAATGTTACTTCTAATTTTAAAAACTTTTTTCACATCAATCTTCTGTTTATCTCAACAGTTTTAGTGCATTGTTAGTGTGTTCCACCAACTTTCTTAGAGCCATTTGAGCTTTAAAATTACTTGAGTTTGGTCTATATTAGAAGAATTTTAATATTTCAAGATACTTTCCAGAGAAAAAAAATAATGAAATCATTATTATCTGTCATCCAAAACCGTATTTGTCCCCTTGGCTTTCATGAAAAACAATATTGTACTTTCTCTTGCATACATGCTAGAGATAGTCAGAATTACTTAAATACCAGTCTCTAACAAATATTGACTTAAATAATATTTAATAGAGAAGCATTATCCAAAGTTATTAGGAGCACAGTCACATGTGTTAAATAGGCCTGGATTTGAGTCCTAAATCTTCAAATTAATAGCTGTATGGCCTTGGGTGAATGCTTTAACCCCTGTACACCTCAACTATCTTATTTATAACATGCTGAATATGGTATCTGTCTCAATAGGTTGTTTTTTGTTTTATGTTTTTAACAGATGGGGTCTTGCTATGTTATTCAGGCTAGAATGCAGTGGCTATTCACAGATGCAACCATAGTGTACCATAACCTCGAATTCTTGCGCTGAAGCGATCCTTCTGCCTCAGCCTCCTGAGTAGCTGGGACTATAGGCATGCTGCTCCTGGCTTCAATGGGTTATTTTTAAGATTAAAAGGAACAGTGCTCAGCAGAGAGACTGGAACATTGCAAATAATAAAAGAGCTACTTTTAATATTATTAATAGTTATAATAATTCAGAAAATAGTTTAACAGATAAAAATATATAATTACTTCATAGTACTCAAAACCCAAGTATCTTACTCATCTCTCATAACGAGTACTGAACAGTACTGAATAGCATTTAGCACAGCGGATGCTCTATCAATTTTATCTTTTCATCCTGCCATAATTCTCAAAGTGACTCTGAGCAATTATCTTAACTTCTCTGGGCTTATCTGAGTTTTCTCACTTAGAAAATGATTAAGGTCTCATCTTGACTCACCTATCATTTTGGGGGAGAACTCAAAGATGAAGGAATAGGGGTCCCTAGGTCACAGCTAATATGAGCTTTTTTCTAGGTTCTCCTAGCATGGATCCTATTTGCAGGAAGTAATTCTGTGAATGACTTAAGTGGTCCAAAAATTGAACCAAATCAGTTAATTTGATTTTTAAAAAGATAATAATTTACCTCAACACTCTACCCAATAAACCAGTCTTGCCCTTTCTCCTTCCAAACAAATCAAGTAATGGTATATCAAGCTCATTTGGAATGCATTTCTATAATGCTTGTTTTTCAAAGATCTATACATAGTTTCCATTAATAGACACACTCTGAAAGGGGGAAAACATTCTCAGAAAGACTACAAAATCATCTCAAACATTTCAACATTGTTCTGAACTACTGTCAAACCACAGTAAACCAGGGATGCTTCATTTATCAGAAACTAATTCAGTTTCTAAATACTTTCAACTAAACCTTCTCTAGAGAAACTTCAGTAACAGCTACTAACTGAAAATATATCAAGATTTCTGACTTCTATAGGGCTTATTTTTATTAGTTAACAATATGCCAAATTTAAAAGATTTAAAAAAATCACATAAGAGAAAAAAGAAACCTGTGAAAGACATTCGCTTCACGGCCCAGTTTGTTTAAAATAATGTTGCTATTTCACTATATTACACTTACACAGACCAAAAAGAACATTTATGTCTTAGTATTTTAAAATACTAATGGCTCCTATAACAAACACAGGTCTCTGGAAGTTAATACCTTCTGCTTTAAGTAAACACAACTTCAAAGTTAAAATGACAATCTGCTCTAATGGATAAAATCCAAGTCCTTTTTCTTTTGTCTACAAATAACATTTCTTGCCCTCTACACAAAAACTAATCAACATTTACTTAGTGTTTCGCTTTCTGGATTGCTAATTTCATGAACCACAGGTATCATTTAACCTCAGAAAATAATGATTAGTTCATTTTTCCCTCATATGAAGTATCACTGTGTAGGAGGCAATAACTGTATATTTAATATTAATATCAAATAAAATAATTGATATCCTATCCAGATTATTACATGATCTCTGTTTGAGGCTATGTCAGTACAGTTCCCTAAGAGATATATGAGTAGTCAGAGGTACACTGAGTAACATTAAACAAACAGATTCATGATTGTATATCAAGACTAATACTGTTAGAAATGATCACTCTGCAGTTTCATGTTTCTGTGGAGGCAACCAACAACCTCAAGGGAGTTATCAGATTCTAACTACTATCTAGGATGAAGACTAGTCTGAAAGTCATAAAAATAATGGTGTAGTCCTTGGACAGAAAATACTCTCATGAGATCAAAACCTTTTTCATCATTTTACAATCCAGCCCTTTAACAGGGGTCATGACGGAAAGCAAAAAAGGTCAGGATTTTTTCCGAAACCAAATAACTGATGGTTCACATTTATTAATATAAGGGCTGGCTATTTGTCTGACATTGTATTACATGGATTATCTCATTTCATCTTTCTCAAAACTTCCTATGAAGTGAGTAGTATTATCTTCACATTTTACAGATGAGGTAACTGAAGCTTAGAGAGGTTAAGCAACCAAGGTTCATGGAACCTAGAAAATCACAGGTGGGATTTGAGCCAAGCAACCAGAGCCTGAATACCACCTGCAACCTAAATCTCCCAAGAGGAAAGGGACTAACACGCTAAGACATCAACACAGCTCATTATTATACATATTTAAATATTCGTATCAAGTCCAATACTGCCCTACAATATTCTGGAGCCCTTAATATCTTAGAAAGAAATTTTGTGACTTCCTCATTCCCTGTAGAAAATCAACAACTTAGTGTTTGGGGGAAAACAAGTTAAACAGACAGGAAAGAATTTATACATGTATTAATCCAGGAAACTGCACAACATATTTCATGAAATAATTATAGCAGCTGTATCAGTACTCCTTTCTACCTCAGAAAACCCCTAGTCATGTACATATGACTACTGAATTTTACTAGCCAACACCAAGCCTTACCTCCATCCTACCTTTCAAGCCTCACATTTGTATATACATCATGGCAGAGATTAATATTTCCCAATTAAATGAGAATCCCTTAAAAATCCAAGTGTATTACCTAAAAGCAAATGAGCCTCACTTTGGGCATATAAAAGTTACAAATTGACTTCAAGGTCTCACAAGCCAGTCAGTGCCCTATTAATACAATTTAAAAAGAGGAAAGCTTCAATATTCTATCAGTGACTTTGACTTTCTCTTACACGTGAATTTTGTACCCATCATTAACTGAAAGGTCTTTGTTTATTTTTCATAAGATCCTGCCTTTCGCAGGCACCACTTTCCTGGATTAGGACAGCATCCTAATTTCTTTTTGCTGAAAAGAAACTTAAAACATTGGTTTGGGGCTCAACTTCAAAATCAGATCATAGTAGTTGAACTGCTCCTAGATCCACAGGGCATCTAATTATGTCAAAGTAAAACTACATCTTACCTTATTACCTTGCATACCCGGGGACCCCATTAATCCACAAAGGCCTTGATCACCCTATAAACAAAACATGGAGGTTTAATATCATGAAAGAGAATTGAAAAGTAGAGCTGCTTTGAAAATTAGAGCTCCCTTTAATCTTAGATGTTAAGTTCTTACTACATTCATTTCTGATCTTCACAATCTGGCTCAAGTTTCACCTAGTTTCTGAACCCTTTTGAGCCCTTTTCTGAGATTCCCAGCCCTTATTTCTCCCAGGGCTTAATACCTGGACTATATTTTCCCACCTCCATACTCTTGCTCCTTTTTCTCTTATGTTCTTTTCTCTAGGCATGTCCTCACTCCCATACTTCCCATCGGTTCAATGTCTACTGTGTTTTTAAAAATCTAAAGCAGGCCAGCCGCGGTGGCTCACGCCTGTAATCCTAGCACTCTGGGAGGCCAAGGCGGGTGGATTGCTTGAGCTCAGGAGTTCGAGACCAGTCTGAGCACGAGCGAGACCCCCGTCTCTACTAAAAATAGAGAGAAATTAGCTGGACAATTAAAATATATATATAGAAAAAAAATTAGCCAGGCATGGTGGCACATGCCTGTAGTGCCAGCTACTCGGGAGGCTGAGGCAGGAGGATCGCTTGAGCCCAGGAGTTTGAGGTTGCTGTGAGGTAGGCTGATGCCACGGCACTCTAGCCCGAGCAACAGAGCAAGACTCTGCCTCAAAAAAAAAAAAAAAAAATCTAAAGCAGTTTTCTTAAAAATTGCACAAGTGCATTCATGAGGCAGCTGGGGAGGGGTCTGCCCTACCCCTTCTCGGTGAGGACCTGAGGCCTGGTGGGAACCCCGAGGCTGAATCTCCAGGGGTGTGACGGCCTGGCTGGGTTCACGTGACCACCAGGAGCAGGGGCACCTCCCTTTCCGGGGCAGAGCTGGTACCTTCCACTGTGCCTGACCGCACCACAGAACGTTACCCCTGGAAGTAACTGGAGTGAAGATTTACTGGGAGGGCCACGTGCTTGGCTCGGACAGCCTAGACTTTGCCGATCATGGCCGTCTTCCCCCAACCTCGAAGAGTACCTGCCAGCCCATCTTGTGAAAGGAAGGAGAAAGTATACCGGTGAGGGGGAAGGAGTGCCTGTACTAGGTAGATGTGACCACTAGAGACACAGGAAGCTGTGTGAATTGACAAGGGAAAAAAATGTCCAAAAGAGTTGGGGAGAAAGTAGAGATGGAATCATGGATCATTTTGAGCCAGTTTACTCAAGGTACACTTTTTCTTTATCTCCCTTTTTCTCCTTCTTTCCACTGTAAGATTTATGGCGCGTGGGAAAAAAATAATGTGTTGAAAGAAAAAAAGAGTACTTCGGTAATAATCCTAAATCAACTCCTTAGTAACTATGTTCTGTCTAGTTTTTAGTACATGGTATACTTTAATATATCATCACATTAAACAATCAGAAGAGAAAAGTGTGTTTCTGGTTATTAACAATGGTGTGCTTTTCCATTTGTTCTAATATTCACTTTAAAATGCTTCTCAAAGTTTTATTAGGATGGCTTCCTTTGCAATGGGATGACCCATTTATACAGGGCTTTTTGTCTGTTTGTTTAACATTTATTACTCTGATAAAGGGAAAAGAAAACTGCACCAGGAAAGAAGAGACTGGAGGCTGGCCCCCTTCCACTAGCTCTGATCATGGATAAATCACTTATTTTCTCTTCCTCTATCTGAAAAATCAGAATTATGATGACAATGATGATGATGATGATGATGTCGTCTTACTTATCTTATAGGAAAGGAAAAATTATACCATTTAAAAACTATCCATGCATGCCCTTGAGGTCCCAAAAGGGCTTCAAAGTTTGCATACGGTCTATTATAGATGTTACTTGGTGGATGTTACATGATGAAGGACTATAGCCCCTGCGTTTCTTATATTCATTATTGACCATGTATTTATTGTACAAATGGCTAAACAGTTAAAATTATTTTCCAGTCTCCCTCTACTCCCACCAATTTAATGTTTGTATTTTATTTGTGTTCAGATTTATTTGTATAACTAATCTCCTGTCTCCTCAGTATATTTGAACCCAATTTAATGTAAATACAACATCTAAGAGATTGTTTTTAAATTTTACCATTTTAGAAATACTCTCAATTTTAAAAATTAGATTTCACTTAAAGCTGAATGCCAACATGCTATTAAATTTTATATCTTACTACATTTCTCTTAGATAGTAAGGACCAAAATTAGTATATGAGGAACTCAGAAAGTAGAAAAAGACTGACATACTTCCAAGTCTCAACTCCCATACTGAACCACTCTATATTTTGTACAGAGAAGCCCCAAGGAAAGATAAAACCAAGCATTTAATATAAATGTGAATGTTTAATCTGGGAGTTTTATTTAAAGCAGTCACCAAAACAGAGTGGGCCTCTAATTTCTACATTTTAGCTAAGAAATCAAATATACCATATTTTGATATTTTAAAAGATGACATTTGTTTCTCAGGTTGCAGGATTTTTTTCTTACAATAATTAAGAGACTAGTGAAATATGGTGTTGCTAGTGATAAACTTCCATTCCAAGTTATTTAAGCTCAGTGAACTCAGTTCCATCACAGTGAGACAATTCCCAAAATTCTAGATAAAAATGATTTTTAACATGTACCCCCAAAATATATACTATTCCATATCCATAAAAAATTAAAAACAAATGGTTTTGAGGATTTACTTAGTAGTATAATATCTATAGAGTCCATTATTATGATGTGATTTTTTTTTTTTTTTTTTGAGACGGAGTCTCACTGTGTTGCCTGGGCTAGAGTGCCATGGCATCAGCCTAGCTCACAGCAACCTCAAACTTCTGGGCTCAAGTGATTCTCCTGCCTCTGCCTCCCGAGTAGCTGAAACTACAGGCATGCGCCACCATGCCCGGCTAATTTTTTCTATGTATTTTTAGTTGTCCAATTAATTTCTTTCCATTTTTAGTAGAGATGGGGTCTCGCTCTTGCTCAGGCTGGTTTCGAACTCCTGAGCTCAAACAATCCGCCCGCCTTGGCCTCCCAGAGTGCTAGGATTACAGGCGTGAGCCACCGCGTCCAGCCAAGGGATTTTTAAAGTTTGTGAATATATACCACATAAATGAAAAGACCCTATAATTGTACTGCATTTATAAATTGCTTGTCTAAACAAATCTTCCCAAATGTCCTGCTAAAGACTCCATTTGTATTGATCCTCACTGGAAAACAGTATCCTCCTCCCAAGAAAGATTTTGTTGCTATCTTTACTTTAAAAAATTACTTTTTACCTAAATAGGTATATGTTTGTATTGAGAGCATTATGATAAAATGAAAAGCATACTGGATCAGAAGTCAGAAAATTTGAATATATCATTAAATTTGCCACTTACTATCCATGTGATAAGCCATTTAAAAATCTATGAGTTCTGTTTTCTCAACTAGAAAACTAAATAATGATGACTGTTTCTCAGAGAGTTACTGTGGTATTTAAACAAGATAAAGTATTTTAAAATAGAACTATCCTAAAATGGTGTAAAATGTCATTGGAATTTATATATTACTGGGTGCATGTATATCAACAGCAAAATCTTTGCCGTTAGGACCACATCCTACTCCAATTATTTACCCCATCTACTCCTTATTTGCAAATAGCACAATGACAGGCCATGGTAGACACTACATAAAATTAATGTTAAGATTTAAATAAATAAGTTAAACTGATGATATAATTTACTTAATTCTTCAAATATTTCTTGCTTCCTTAAAATCCAATAGTTCTCTGATATCTTCTCTGTCTGATACAGTAAAGATATTTATATTTTAAAAAGATAAAAATGATTTTAAAATGTTTGAAGTATATTATCATGATTTTATTTCATGGACAAATAATTACCTTTTCTCCAGAAAGAGCTTGACCTGGGGAAAATCCTGGATCTCCTTTGGGGCCCTGGAAAAAATAGTTATAAAACACATGGTGAAGCATAAATTACATATAATATATATCTTCAGTTATGTATCATCAGAGGCTATACACATTATATGATATTAAATAAAATTATTTTAAATTGAGATAGGCATGGGTTATTGATTTTTTTAATGTACCTTCTTCTTAGTCTTATTTTTAAATGCTGATAAGATTCCTAAAAATTCCCTAGACATAGCTGATTTTTTAAAATCTAATAAATGTAAAGTTATACTGCTATTGAAACATTTTTCTTCGGGGGACCTAGGTAAAGGCTTTGTCTTTTCCATTTTTGTAACATACTGCATTGTTATTCCTATTTTAGCTTTGAAAGACTAGTTACATTAGTAAAAGAAAACTGCTTATAACGATCATCAGAATTCTAAGTTTAAATATTTTCCAAAATCTTGCAATGCCCATGCATTACTTTTATAATAAAGAAAAAATTTAAAAAGATATCTCTATTTGTCAAAATTCTTTTTATTCTGTTCTAAAAATAGCTACTTTTCATAGTCTAGGGATCTTTATCTTCCACATTTCAAGAGGAATGTGACATTAAATTTTGGTTAAAGTTTTTTGGTACAATATTAAAATAATCTTTCTTATGATAAATAGTAGTAAAGTATCTCTTTTTCATACCTCATAAAATATAGGGGCCAAAATGAAGATTCTTTAAAATTCAAATCCTGATTTCATTACCATTCTCAACTAAGAATAAATAATTCTCCTTTTCTAGATACTATTTTTACCCTTTCGGAAATAGGGAAATAGACATGTCTTCTTTCACATATTCAGGAATGATTTTAAATAGCTTTCAAGCTGACCAATGAAAAAAGGAATACCAAAAGAAAAGTCCTGCATGTTCCTCAGTAAGTCCTTTAATTCACAAATTCTAAATGAGTGCTCACTGGCAAAGAGTCCTGTGTTCTATAGTCAAAGAAAATTTTTAAAGAAAAAGTTGTTCTCTAGGCTGACCTCTTCCCTTTTACAGACATCATCACTTCTACCAAGGCTACAATTTTAGATCATTGGCTATAAAATTATGGGACTTAAGAAATGACTTTGGTGATGTTTTAATATTTATGAACTCAACTCTTCACCCTCCCAAAAAAGGTAATTTACTTAGAATGTATAAGAGATATTAGAGCTTATCTAGTAAATCACATTTTGTATTACAGATAAAGAAGCAGTGAGGTCCAGAAAGGTTAATTGATTTACTTAAGATTGCTTAGAAAAGTATGGGCAAACTAGGTCAATTTTTTTTTTATATCACAATACCTATTAAATAAAATCTTATTTATTGGAGTTAATATATTTTAATCTTTTATTACAAAAACTAGCTAATTGATTTGAGGCAATAATTTACAGTGAATTTAAAAATAATTTGAGAAATGATAGTCCTTGAGATGTTTAAATATAATAAAATCCTTTATGTCCAATGTCTTTACTTATAAATATGATGTTAAAAATTCTTACTTTTAGGTCCTGTTTGAATTTTATATTATCTATCAGCTTTCTTAATATCATCAAATAATTTAATATTTCATTGTCCATTCAAAAAAATTGAAGGAGTAAGCAAAAGTGATCAATTGAGAAATAAAAATTATATTAAAAATGTAACTTTTTCTTATTCATATGTTGTATATCTGAACAACACTTTTGACACATATATGTCAAATTTCTTTTTTTCACACAAATATGACTGAATTAATTTATCAACTCATGTTCTAGAACTGGAATTTCAGGTCAGCATTAAGGAAATGCTCTTAACCTGGCTAGCTGTGCATATAAAATGCATTAAGTGGAGATTATTGAATATGCCAACTTTACCTGAAATGTCAAAGAAGTAGGTCATGCTTTTCTGCATTGAAGGAGAAAACTCCCAATTTTCTTACTTTCTCCCTCATTGTGTACCAACTCTTTGATTCCTGACACACTTTTGGTCTTACTTGATTGGTTTTTTAAACCCCCTTTAGAATTTAATATTTATAAATTAATTAATTAATCATAATTGACTTTGAACCTCAAAAGCCAGTGAAAAGGGATATGTTACATTCAGGGAATAACAATGTGAATGATGGCTAACTTCACCTCAGAAATGTGATCGACTTCCTTTGTTTCTTTTTAATTCCCTTAATTTCTTTAAAAGATTATGTAATGCAAAAATTATAACATTACACTGTGGGATTTATAATGATATAGATGTAAAATAAATGACAACAAAGCACAAAGGATGCAGGTAATGGATAAATGTAATATGTCACAATGTTGCTACAGTTTATGAAGTGACACCATATTAACTGTAAGTAAACTAGAATATAAGTTAAGGATGCATATTGTAATCCCTAGAGCAACTACATAAGTAAATGGGTAGGTAGGTAGACAGATAAATAGATAAAGAGATGTAGCTCAAATGCCAATAGAGAAATAAAATGGAATGCCAAAGAATATTTTATTAATCCAAAAGAAGGCAGAAAAAGAGGGAGAGAGGAACAAATAACAGATTGGATAAATGGAAAAGAAATAGCCACATGGTAGGGCAAGACCCAATCATACCAATAATTACATAAATATAAAGTGGACTTAACACTCCAATTAGGAGATTATCAGACTGGGTAAAAAAGTAAGATCCAACTACACATTGTCTATAAAAGATTCACTTTAAATATAAGACACAGATAGGTAAACGAATAGAAAAATATATACCAGGAAAACAATAAGCATTAAAAAGCTGATGTGGCTCTGTTACTATCAAACTGGACTTCAAGAAGAGTATTACCAGAGATGAAGGAAGACATTTGATGATGATAAAAAGTGTCAGTTCATCAGGAAGACATAAAAACATGCATGCAGAGAACAGAGCTGCAAACTATATGAAGCAAACACTGACAGAACTAAAGGGAGAAATAAACAAATCCAAAATCATAGTCAGATATTTTAACATACCTCTCTCTGCAATTAATGGAACTAGACACAAAAAAGCAGTAAAAATAGAGAAAATTTTAACACCAACCACCATAAGCTAACTGACATTTATAAAATACTATACCCAACAACTGCAAAATATACAATCCTTTCGAGTATGCATGGAATATTCACCACGATAGATCACATGTTGGGCCATAAAATGCCTCAATAAATTTTATAGGATTGAATTCCAGTGTGTGCTCCCTGATCACAATGGAACTAAATTAGAAATCAATGATAAATAAAACAACATACTTCAAAATAACCCATGGGTAAGAGAAGAAAGCATATATCTTTATCTGAATGATAATGAAAATAAAACATATCAAATTTTGTGGGATGCAGTTAAATCAGTCCTTAGAGGGAACTTGAAGCATTAAATTCTTATATTAGAAGAGAAGTTTTGAAATCAATGATGTAACTTTCCACCTTACGAAGCTAGAAAATGAAGAACGAATGTGGAATAAATAGAAGGAAAGAAATAATAAAGAGCTGAAATCAATGAATATTAAATAGCCCATAGAGAAAATTAACGAAGCCAAATATGTTGGTTCTTTAAAAGATTAATGGAAGTGAACTCTTGATTTTCTCCCAGGCAAAAACAAAACATACAAAATCCTGGTAACATGTTCCTCCTCATTCCAGTAGATGGCAGCTCCCATAATACCAGCTATTCCACTGCTCAAGCCTTAGAATTATCTTTGACTCTTCTCTTTCATACTGTATATGTAATCCTTCAGCAAATCATGTTGACTGTAACTCAAAATATACCTAGATTTTGAGCACTTCTCACCACCTCTATTGCTAACCCTCTCATCCATGCCACCATCACCAATGGTATGGACTAGGGTAGACCAGTGGAGTAGACTCCAAACTGGTGTCCCTCCTTCCACCCGTCCCTCATTCCAATCTATTCTCCACATGACAGCCAGAACTATCCCGACAATATAAATTGGATGTAAATTATCTGCTTAGAACTCTTCAATGAATATCCAACAGAAATCAGTAAAATCTAACCAAAATCATTACCAACAAGGTCCTATATAATTGACTCCTACTACCTCTGATCATATATCTACCACTTACCTAATTCAGCTATTCTTCAAAGATTGTCTCAAGGCCTTTAGAATTGTTTTTCAACCTTTTCTTCATCAGGATTGCAAAAAATAGTGATTTTTAATTCTAGCATTCTTTATTTACTAGCGTTTTCTATAAAAAGAAACTTCCTTTACCAACCATTTGGTTATCCTGAGGTTCAATTCTATAAGAAAGGCAAGGCAATTTTTAAAAAAGTCTTGATTCTTTCCTTTTATTTTTGTTTTACTTACCATTCTTTGAAATAATGATGTGGTATAATAAAATATATATATTTGGTTTTTGTCCCCAGTTCCTGGCAGAGAGTTCCCAAACCCCTTGGAATTTCCTGAGTGATAAGGTGTATTTTGTTAGTCATAACAAGCCACTTTTGACCATACCTAAGTTTATGCTAATAAGATGACTGGGGGGGGGCCCTAAATAGCTTTCAGGATTGGGGCCTGTCCCCAGAAAGTTATACAAGTGATTAGAGGGTGGGAACTTTCAGTCCGAATTCCCTCTTCTCCCACTGCCAGGGATGAAGGGTGGGGAAAGAAGTTATGTTATAAAAACATAACTGGGAAGGTAGTGTGGCAGGAGAGAGCATGGAAGCTCTACATTCCCTACCCCCAATACTTTGCCTTATGCAGCTCTTCCATTTGGCTGTTCCTGAGTTGTATCCTTTACAGTAAAGTGGTAAAGGTAAGTAAAGTGTTTTCCTGAGTTCTGTGAACTGTTCCAGTGAAATATCAGGTCTGAGAGGGTAGGTCATGGGAACCCTTGAGTTTGTAGTCTATCCAGACAGAAGTGTGGGTGGCCTGGGCACCCCATTTTTGGGGGTGACATCTGAAGTATGTGCAGTATTGTGGGATGGAGTCCTAAAACCAGTGGAGTCTGATGCTAACCCTGGGTAGTTAGTGTCAGAATTGAATTGAATCGTTGGC